AATGCGCAAAACAAATGCTCTTAAAATTTCAAGAACTTTCACGTAAATCAGAACTTTGAAGAAAAAAACTCTAGGTTAATTTCATAAATTAGCGTGGCCCTCTCAGCATGCCAAATTTCAACTCTCATTCCTGCTGCCTGTAGAGCTGCCCGTATGGTATTTTTTCCAACAAGTTTCGAGAAAATTGATAATTTTCGAACAAATTATCGAATGTCAATTTTTTTTAAATTCCATCGTAATCTCTGTATATTTTCTAAATACTTTAATCATTTTAATTGTTAATGTCGTATAATTTTTATACAGCTAAATAAAATTTAACGTTAAAAATCTCTAGGCTATGTTTATAAATAAACCTGGCCCTCTCAACATGTCAAATTTCAGCTCTCATTCCTGCTGCCTGTAGAGCTGCCCGTATGGTATTTTTTCCCACAAGTTTCGATCAAGTTAATAATTCTCAAGCAAATTATTAATATTAATTTCGTGATTCCATCGTTATCTTTGTACATTTTTCTACACACCTTAATAATTTGAATTATTAGCATCATATAGTTTCTGTCAGGGCTAAAGAGAATACAAGGGCTAGTTCACTCCGCTCTTAGAGCTGAAGCTACGATTTCCCTCCTCATGACGTCACTGTGTCTACAGATCTCGGAGATCGCAAGCAAAGATATGATAACTTTGCATCTTTCTCTTGTAAAAATAAGTTAGACTTTTTCTGGTTATTAGCCTTCAAACTTTACGTAATTAACACATTATTTCCGTTCATAAACATAGTTCAAAAAAAACTTTCTTGGTTATTATATTAAAAAAATACCATTTTAAACTTATAAAAATGTTTTGCTAGTTGGTGAAAATGACACGATAAATACTTTATTTTAAAAAGTTCAGTTTTAACTTTAACTATTAAGAAAAATGAAGGCATATATCGACACTTTTTTTATCTACATATTCTTTTATNGCTAAAAACTCCCAAACTACGCAACAGAATTAAACAAATAAGGTGTCGTTTTAAAGGTATTGTTATGTAGATGTGCAATAAGGTCTTAAATTATGAAAATTTCCTTTAATTAATTAATAAAATTAATAATTTAGTTTCAACCAATGAGAATTCAGCAAATCATTTTTCGGGTGGTTCGCATAAGCATTGTTTCCGTAAGCATCGTTTGATTTAAAGCATTTCTGAATTAATAGATTGATAAACAAAAATAAGAGTGGATAAAAAAAAACGGAACTGAATTTCTTAAAAAAAGAATTCAATATCTTTAGTTCCTTTGATAAATTTTTAGTTTCATGATAAATTTTTTGTTTCGTTACAATAGAATGGCAATGGCATCGTGCGAATATTCAAACCAAAACAAACGTGCGAATATTCAAACCAAAACAAACTTTCTACAAACAATTATTTTGATTTGAGATTTAAAACGATATCTTAGTTATTTAGTTCTATTTTTATTTATTTAGTGCCTGCTGCCTAAATAAAATGCCTGCTATCAGGCGTCGAAATATCTCTGGCAGACGTCAGAGAAATGAATGGCGGAATTCTAAACGGGAAAGCATTTCTTATTGAGATATATTCTCTGCTACAGCTCCAAATTTCTCAGCTACATGAAGAAAAGATAATCAAATTGTGAAGGGGGCAGAGAAGTGTATAAATTTCATTAAGTAATTGATCTCAATATCTGGCATTTTTATTTTAAAATTTAAATTTGTTAAAATGTTTTTATAAGAGGAACTGCGAAGCAGTTCTGGGGGTTGGCGAGCAGGGGGCGGAGCCCCCTAGTAATGATTAATTGTATTAAGTATTATCTGACATATGCTATTGCTCGATGCAAATCATGATATTTAAAATTTACCACGTTAAACAAGCTACTTTCTCCTGTACTTACATCTTCTAAAGGCTTTTAAAAACTTATTTTCTCGGTATCTGTCATGAAAATGCAAATTATTAATTCAGCTTTAATAGGCACCAAATTTACTGTTCAAATACATAGAGCATATATAATGGTACTTATTAAAACTGTCCCAATTACCGTAGTGCCAGTAGTACTTATTGCCTAAGAATATATCTACGTTTAGGTGTCAATTATAGTATATTATATTTCATAACCGTTGTTGAATAGCCGACCCAATTTTTTGAGTTTAGGGCTACCAATTCTCAACTCCGTAGTCTTGTAATTTTGAACCCAATCCGGAAGATAAGGGAACTCTTGGATCAAGTATTGGGATAAACTTATCTTTTTGGAGAACTTTTTGATGGAAATAACACTCATTTGCGTTACATGAAGAGGAAAACCACGAAAACCTCTCACAGTTAGACTGATGGCAAGGGGACTCTAACCCATGATCTGTATCCCATTGAGGATATTTTACGTCAGCACTGTGGTCGATGTGAGCCGGGTGCAGAATTCTTCTCCAAAAGCCATCGCCGGGATTTGAACCTGCTTCACCTCATTGCGAGGCACCGCGGCTCTCATTAATAATATGATGACTTTCTACGGTTCCCCCTAACGAATAAGTAGGTTACATCCATTAATCGAAACTCCATTAATTTTGCTTTTTAGATTATAACCTATTTCTTTTAATTTTTTTTATTGCAGTTAGCACAAATTACCGAAATTAACTAAGCCTCATTGACGCCAATAACAGTTTGACCATTTTTACGCTTTCTGACACCAATTAGCACCATTTCTCCAATGATTTTGCTTTTTAGTTGATAACTTATTATTTTACTTCAATTAGCGACAGTCGTCAAAATAAATTGCCTTTGGCGTATATAATATTGGCCTTTTTTTTCCGTCTCTCCTCAAAGAATTAACACAATTCTCTATTAATTTTGCTTTTCAGTATAATCTTTTTTTTATTATTTCGATTTCCTTTTGATTTCGAAATATTTAGTTTCATAGTAACGCGTCTTAAAAGCGAGACTTTACCCAAAATAAACACGTGGTTTCAAAAAACTGTAGAAATGCTAGAGAGATTTCGCACATTTACTTTAAATTCCGTACGCTTCCCAGATTAATACAAGATTTAATCGATTTTTTTTTCTGACCCTGCGTATCTTTACGTTTCGTTGACTTTAACAAATCTGTGAGCAAGCTCTTCATATCTATTGAATATTATAGTTATTCTGTTTAAGCCCACCTTCGAATTTACAACATGGGCAGGTTACAGATTGATTAAGAAGAACGCCAACTGTAAATGATTGTGGAGGATTCGTTATTACAAAATGTTAGAAAGAATATAGTGATTTTACAACAATGGGATACGTGTAAGTGACGTAGTGTGGGTATCTCGATTTGATTGGTTCTTGAAACGTGGCATTTGTTTACAGTAGCAACCGTTTGTTCCATTTTATTTCGAGTAAGCCGAACACGTAAAGTATCAATCTTCTTTAGTGACACATTCTATAATTCTTTGCGAGAGATTTCAATACTTTCACCATATATTTTTTTGTACTTAGCACAAAGACAGGCACTAAGCCATGTAGAACATAGACAAATAATTATGCACCGAAGTTGCCACGAAACAAAATTATTTCACGGTAACAATAAAATACATAAACAAATATTAAATCAAAGTTAAGTAAAAGACCTAGATGAAAAAGATTTATATTTCAACAAATTCGATGTACGATACGACGGCGTATTTAATTGACTTCACATTAACTAACACAGAGATGCCAACTGCTCCGGACACAACAAAATAATTTTTAAAAAACGGTAAATATCTACAAATTTTTTTTTATTTTATTTTATGACCGCCGTTGAACAGTCGACCCAATTTTTGGGTTAACGACTACAAATGCTCAACGCCGTAGCCTTGTAATTTTGAANTTGCTTGCTTTTTAAAAGGTATAGCATGACGTAAGTACTATAAAGTGATGAATTATATAAGCCCACGAATTATTTAGAAATAGTGGTGGATGAAAATCTACTAAATTGAATTTATTAAACCAAGAATCACAATTGATAAACCACCACTTTAAAATGTATATTTGCTGTCCGGAGCAAGTTGGCATCTCTGCTAACATTCTGACTTATATGGAGAAACTTTGCTCAACCTCAACACGCCATTTTGCTTATAAGCAATCAGCTGGCGCTTATGTCATAGGTCACATGTGTGAGTATCTGTAATCTTCTTCTTGAAGTGCAAGTACCCAATTGGTTGTTTTAATAAATAAAAATAAAAAAGAAAGAAGTAGTGATTTTAGTTTAAAAATTATGGTTGTCTAATTGCCAGGCTTTCTCACTGCACGCGATCGCAAATACTTACACAATCAGTTCTACTTACATGTTATTTTTAAGCATTAGCTGGCACACGTAGGGCAATCGGATGCAGTTAGAAGTAAGGCTCCTATACTATCAGAGCTGACCTATCAAGCAATATTGGAGCAAACAAGTTCGCAAGTTAACATTATGTTAGTATTAGTTATGTTATTACAGAGATACCAACTGCGCCGGACACGCCAAAATAATTTAAAAAACTGTAAATAACTACAAAGTAAATTTTGCAAATAGTTGACAATATTTGCAAGCTTTTAAAAATGTAAAGCATGTAATAAGTACTATAAAGTGGTGAATTATATAAGCCTACGCATTGTTTAGAAATAGTGGTGGATTAAAATCTACTAAATCGAACTTATTAAACCAAGAATTACAATTAATAAACTACCACTTGAAAATATTTATTCGCTGTGCTTATGTTAGCTCTTTGCTCCAACAATAAATGATAAGTCGGCCTGTCTAATTCAGGGGCTCTAGTTAGAAGGAATCGAAATCGAATCCCTTAAAAATCGAAGCTATCTTTTTAATTTCTGCGATACGAATTACGAATGTCTTTTTCATTTCTGTGATGATTGTCTACCAACATGTACAACACGTTGTTGGTGATTTTTTGACAAAAGCATCTTACGGTGCGTGCCCCCTGGTTCTATCTCAAATGTTGAAAAGCTGTAAAAGTTTTATAATCTAAGGTACAGTTAATGATTTTTTTTCTTCCAGTTTGACAACGAAGGTTTTGGTGAAATTCCGTGGGATGATTTTCTTGTGGCTCTGGAGAGTCCAGACTTCCAAGAATGCATTGAGCCATCGAAGAGGGAAGTCCTGGCTTCCAAGGCCAGAGAAAACAAGACCTACGCCATCACATTCGATGACTTCGTTGCAGTGGTCAGTACTCTCTTTTTCTTAACTGCACTCCTCTATTTGTCTTGTCACTATCAATATTTAATCATTATCACGTTTTATATGAGCTTCCTAATTGCGTATGATAGTGAAATTGAATCGATTTATTATGCATTGCGTTCATTAAAATCAGTAGTCGGAAAAAAAATCAGATCTAGTGTGTATAATATTTTTGAAGGCCCCTTTAGGTATTTACGAAAAAATATTATATTAGTATCATCATAGATTGATTGAAATTTTTTGTAAAGTGAGAAAAAAATGGGTGGAGTAATAAAATTCCAATGAAGCCTAAATCGGACAGGATACCATGTCAGGTCCCTAGCACCGACATTTAAGCATATTGAACTTGAAGCTGTTTAACTTCAAGCAAATTTATAAGAGATAAGATAACTCTTTTTCCCGCCTTGCGATCAGTTCTGTTGAGAATGACTTTTCTGTGTTTTAAGACAGTAGAAACCAAAAAAATATTATTTAAAAATTTCCATTTCAAATTTTTATCAAATTTCAAAATTAAGATAACTTAACAAGCAAAAGGTATTAAATTATTTTGCATCTAAAAAAGGACAAAGTCAGAGGAAATATAATAATAAATTAATAATATAATAACAGATGGTTTAGAATCGGTGAGTGCATCAATTAACACAGTAATAATATAATATTAATAACAAATAATTTTGGGACAAACGAGGCAATCCCCCGACATCGAGTATAAGGGGTTCCCAAAATATAAAAACAAGAATAAAGAAAATTATTAAAAAAATTTACTTTAATTTTTTGTTTTACATACACTTTTCTAAATTTGATTAGAAAAATGTTCATTTTCTTCCATTTTTAAAAGGATAGAAACAAGCATCTAAAAGAATAATGTGTAGATTAAAAAAGAGGGTAATCAGACTTGTTTATTTATAAAATTTCAATTTCTGAAAAAAATACTATTTTTATACATTTTTTGGTTTAAAAAAAATATTTTATTTCATTTTAAAAAGTGTATCAGATTTCCAGGGATTAAGGGAGCCCCAATTTCTGTGCTTGCCCCGAGCCCCAGAGGGTCTGACAAAAGTATCAGTAATCTTAGCCATTCATATTTAATATTTTTTGTAAGACGGAAAATATAGTTGATAATAATTTAGATCTTGTTCTATCAGCACAGCTATACGAAATTTTTCAATTTTTTTCTCTACTTTTCACTTTAAGTTCCACTGCTGACATGATTTACTTTTTTGCACAACTGCAGCAGAGTTATCGACAAAATCGCACACATATTCAATAATTGAAAATTTAAAAAAATAACATGATTTAAAATTTTTTTGAAAATTTTGCTTGTAAAATTAATTTTCACAAAAATCTTTTAATTTCAAAACAAATACTTTGGATTGTCTTTGTGCTGCCATCTCTTAGTAAAATACTTGTTCCTTTTTTTTTATTTATTTGAAAATTTAAATTCTTTACTCTAATTTTAAAAAATAAAAATATTGTTTTAAATTTATATAAATACTTTTAAACAACCTCAAATATATCTCACTTTATGATAACTATAAGAAAAATCTATAAATCAACATAATTTTTTTAAAATAATTTTGCTGAACTATTTTAAAAGTAAGGTTGCTGCTGCTGCCATCTCCTGGCGTAACTTTTCATTTCTATTTCATATTTAAACTCAAGGGTAATTGTTTTATATAAAAATAATAATTTTCATTTATTTAATAATGTTATAACTTTAAAATCACATTATAGGTTTTGTAATATTTCACTTTATGTAACATTTATATCAATATTTTAATTTCATCTTTAATAATTAATTAAAATAAAGGATAAACATAAGGATAAAAATAAAGGATAATTAAAATAAAGGATAAACAAAAACTGTAAAAAAAGACTTTCATAGATTAATTTTATTTTCTATATTGGTTCTTCATATACTAGTCAAATTTGAAATTTTTTACTGCGAAATAGATTTAAGTTAGGTTTTTTTTTTTCTCTTATGTAGCTTTTGAAAACCAGCTTTCTCTATACCATTTTTTTTTTAAATCTATATAATTAATATAAAAAATTTTAAGTCCATTAACTTCAAGCCAATTATATTATATATTGTCTTAAACTACTATAGGCAAAAATCTACTTCAATAACATTTAAAGTAAATTTTAAATCTTACTTTAAAATTATAGAAGTGTACATTTGTCTTATGAGTTTTAGTTCTGTTATTAAATTTTTTCGTATTATTTTTGCTAAAATCTTCAACAATTTTCCCCAGTCACTTAGTGAATTAATAAAAAGAATATCTAATTCATATTAATTTAAATTAAAGTATGCTTTTCAAACAATAAGTTTTCAACTTCAATTATAAATTTTCTTCAGTTGTCATAAAATCATATTGCTGTTATCGTTTAATAGTGATATTTATTCTCTTTAATGAAATTAGTCACTTTAATCTTTCTTTTAATTACAAATATTTATTTCTTCAAGTTTCAAAACCAATTCACTCGTCAAAGTACTGAATCATCTTTTGCAGAAATTCGCATTTTGCGTTTAGTCATAAAAATTTTTATTCGGACCCTTTCAAAAAAAGAAAGTTCACAACTAGTAATAGCTCTATGATATAACATTTATATTTTTAAACATAGTAAAAACTAAATGGATAATAAAATTTGACAATTTAATTAACAAAAATTAGATAAATTATTACGTTGTAGCAGTTTCTACTATTTTTATCAAACTTTTACTGCAGTGCTGCCATCTATATTACATTGTTAAAAAGTTTTAATTTTAACTACTAGAAATAATATAATTCTCGTGTGCTTACGGAAGAAAAACATATCGCTTATATTTTTCTTTATTAAAATATACATAACACCGTTTCCATTTACTGATTAAAATATTTCAGCAGAAATAAATATTTTGATTTTTATATGAAACTAATCTCGTGAAATATTCCAATGTTTCTAGTTCCAAACATTTTGTGAAGAAAGAGATTATATTTTCTAACCCAAATTTTATTAGTTAAACTTGTAAAGACTGACTATAAAATTATTCTTGCAATGAAAAAAAAAGAAACATAATTAAACTTTAGAGCAGATTAAACCATGTTACTTGTAATATTGAGAAAAAAAACTAGCTGTAGTGCTGCCCTCTATTACGGAAAACTCAAACATTTGATTGGAAAAAATTCTGTTCATGTGAGCTAATCCTAAATATTATATTAAAATTATTAATAATGTTTTTTTTTTTTTTTTTTCAGAAAGGGTTATATGTTAAGCTTCTTTTTAATGTTTTAAGGGAAAAGTATTTAAAAATATTTTTACCTGAATTCAAGTACCAGAACAAATATTTAGAAAGAATTTTTTCATAAAAATATTATCATATGAACATTTTTTTTATATTATTTAATGTAAGAAAATTATTAGAATAGCTATAAAGCTGAATTAGCTATGAAATTTTTTAAAACCCTTAAATTACCAAATAATCATCCTTAGAAATTAAATTGAAATTTTGAAGCTCTGTATAAAAAAATAAAAAATAAAAAAAATAAATAAATAAAAATTCGAAATCAAAATTTGTGTATTAATTCTAAAATATTCTTTATTAATAAAATATGAGAAGTGAAAATAATTCATTTAAGGAAAATTTAACTTCAGGCTCCAACGGTAATAAAAGAGATTTTTGAAAAGTTTCAAATAATTCCCGGAAATAGGTTTTTATCGATCTCCTATTCAAAAAATTAAAATCAACTTCAGAGGATTTTAATTCTAATACTTTAATTCCTGAATATTTCATGATTTTTGTTTATATTGGTTACTTTTTTCATTTATTTTTACATATTTTTTTGTTTTTTTAAATGACTGCTAGTAGAAAATTAAAGTGCTTCAGATGAATTTTATTAAAGCTCTATATGCACAGCTCAATTGAGAAGTAGGGGAAATGAATAATGATTTTTTTCCTACATATTTTGAGTTTAATGAAAAATCGTCATATTTTTACACGTTGTCGTTTGAGAACGTTTCAAAAATATACAAATTGCATGAATAATTTTTAAGAAAAAATTATAATTAAATGAAAAAATAATTTCAAGCATTAAATGAAATGTTTGTTATTATTTTTAATTTTTTTCGGTAATACTTAATTTTATTCCATACCCCCCCCCCTCTATTTCCGTTCTCGACAACTTACTATTAACATCAGTATTCAGTTTTATCAATAACATCAAAAGGTATTGCACTTTCTTTCATTTTCTTCTTGCGAAAATTTATTGCGATTTTGAAAATTTGTTCAAACGAAACATTCCTACTATTATATAGACATTTCTGCCTTTCATAAAGTACAGAGCTGCATAATTCAGTGTACAATTCTTTGACAAAAGCAGGATGCGTATTTTGAATCAGAATGGTAGTCCAGAATTTTTTTAAAAAAAATCTTAATCTTATCCTAAAATGTGTGTATAACATCACATGTATACAACTTATAAAATATGCATAACGTTAAACTCGGTTTAACAATAATTTCCTCTACTGTTAGAAATTTTCGTTATAAGGAATGTTTACTGTAAATTAAATGTTAGCAGTATTTTCCGACGTAAAAGTTGATTTTTTGCACCTGTTAAGCTACTTATTTTTGTTATCGAAATGACAGATTTTGTGAATATTTGTTGTGTATGTCGGCCTGCAAATCGACAATAGGTAAAATTTATTATTTTTTTTAAATATTTATATGTATCTAAAATACAACATAAGTAAAAAATAGTTTACATCACTGTTTCGAGGTAGATACATCTGTAAATTGATGAAAAGCAAAATTTATTACGTAGTAGTTCAATATCCATTCTTAGTTTAATTCCCGTTTGATCAAATAGAGTTGTAAGCTAGCAAATATCTCTTATATTAACTTTTAATTCATTAAAAAAGGCAAAAACTTATTTTAGTAATGCGTAAAGTTAAGGCTATGAGAAAAACGTGTTTCTCACACATCCCTCCCAAACGAAATAATTGAAAAC